CGTTAGAAGGCTACGACTGTAGGGGAAGTCAGAAGGACCAATCTCTATAGAGATGCAGGGGGAATCATGTCGCTCTTCTCTGTACCCTGTTAAGTCTCACCAGGGAAGAATAACTGCCTTTCCGAGGTTTCGCCCTTCGGCTTCCAGTAGAGGCTGGAAAGGCCCGTTCTGTGAAACTAATGGGACCAAAGAGTAGTTGCAAAGCTGGGGAAAGTTAAATCTACAACCCACGTCTGCATCCAACTCGTGCACGCAGATGTGCCGGGAGTGTGCAAAGCAGTCACCAAGGTCGTCCCGATTTCGCGGCCCTTAAGAGTCTATAGCGATTTCTGCCGTAGAGGCCTAAGTGGTGGCCATTTAAGCAAGCAAGGAGAGAGGCAACAGTGATAATAACGTGCAAGCGTGTCCTAGAGCTTCAGAAATCCGCGCACGCCAAACCTACCGGAGCCGCCCAGGGCTTCCCTTCCCTAGTCCCTGGAGACACGCCCGCACGCGCCATTCCCTCCCTGACCAGGGGAGACCGTGCGCAAGCGCACTGCAGCAGGCCGCGCCAGGCCCCGCCTCCACCTCGCCACACCCGGGCCGGCGCGCTTCTTTGCGCGTGCCCGCTTGCAGAGAAGTCGGCGGAAAGGAGAAGGCGGGGGAGGAAGACTGAGGGAAGAGAGGGCACCCCCGGGCGCCAGGGTGCATTGTGGGAAGGAGGCGGCAGCGTCCCGGGCGGGCGGGAGGTGCACCAGCGGCGGCGGCAGCGGTAAATCCTCCAGGCCGCTCACAGCACTGTGGAGCCGCGTCCCCAGCCCGGCCTCGGACCGCGGCGCCCCTCCTGCCCCTCGCGGCTTGTTGCCCGCCCGCCCCTCCCCCCGGGGCGCCGGCCCTGCCGAGCCGGCCGGCTGGCCTGGCTCCCCTCCCCGGCCCCGACGGGCGGGCGGACTGCCCTGAGGAGGCGGGGAGGGGAGGGCTGGGCCGGCCGGCGGGCGGGCGACGATGCCGAACTTCTGCGCTGCCCCTAACTGCACGCGGAAGAGCACGCAGTCGGACCTGGCCTTCTTCAGGTTCCCGCGGGACCCGGCCAGGTAAGCGGCGGGCGCGGGGCTGGCAGCTCCGGCCCGCCTCCGCGGAGCGCTCTAACATCCGCCGGCCCCAGGCTGCCTCCGGGGCTGGAGGGGCGTATGGTGGGGTGCCACAGTCGTCGACCCCAGCCTCGAACTGATGTGGGGAACGGGCCTTGAGTAGTGGGCGGGCGGGCGCCCAGGGACCTCAGAGCACGTGCGTCGGGCTTTCCGAGCGGAGAGTGCCACCCGAAATAAGACGCATCTCGGGCGGCGTGCAGGCGGGATAAGGTGGGTTCCCACCCTGGTTAGTTTGCTGTGTAACGTCGGGCAAATAGCTTTCTTCTCTGTGCTTTAGTTTCCTCAGATGTCAAAAATGGGCACCGGGGCCCTTCCTTCTCCGTGCCGCCACCCTCCCAGACGGTGTTTCTTTCTGGAGTTCAGCCACCTAATTTGATCCCAAGTAACTACTCCCTCCTTTGGACTTGTTCATGGTTCAGATTCTGGCTGTGAGACCGTTACTCATTGTCTCACTTGGTTTTTGCGCGCATAACGAAGTGGGAGGGAAAGGCACGCGAGAGGGAATGCAAATTGGTATTGAAATCTTCTTGAGGTAGCCCGCGCTCTCTGACATGTTTAGAGTGATAGCGTAGGGACTGTCTTTGAAAGGTCGAGGATTTTTCCTTGGCCTCTCTTTTCATTCATTAATTTCAAACCAATACCTACTATGAGCAGGGCGCTGATGTTAGGCGCTAGAAATTCAGAGGTGAGAGTGCTCCTATTTGCAGCAAGCTCGCCGTGCATCAGGGAGACATATGTAAGCTGGAGATTATAATACAGCATTATACTCACTAATTCCACAAACATCTATGGAAGGCCTACTATGTGCTAGGTATTGTTCTGAGCATTGGGAGTGTACGGATGAACAAATCAAAGACCGTGCTTTCATGGAGGTACATCCTAGTGGGGGAAAATAGAACCAGGAAATAAATAGTACATCAGGTAGTGGTAGATACAGTGGAGAAAAAGCTAATGTTGGGGGACAGGGGAGTAAGGAATTGCAGGGGAGGCATAATTGCTGTTTTAAATAGGGTGACAGAGCCTTAGTAAGAAGGTGAATTTGAGCAAAGACCAGAAGTAGATAAGAGGGCCAGCCATGGATATACCTAGGATTATTGGAGCATTCCAGTCTGTGGAAACAGTAAATGCAACGTCAGGGTATGCCTCTTAGAGGTACAGCCAGAAGTCCATGGACTGCTGGAGGTGGTTTAAGGAAGGAGGGAGAGGGAAAAGGTGAGACCAGGAAAGTGTGTTTGTGTGCTAAGGGCAAACTGTGTAGGACATTGTAGGCTGTGGAAAACACTGGCATTTATTATGAGTGGGATAGCAAATCATGGAAGGGCTCAGAGCAGAGAGACTTATACTTTAAACAGGATCATTGGCTGCCTGTTAAATAGATTGTGGGAAAGCCAAGGTGAAAGCAAGAAGACTAGTTAAAGACAATTGAAGTAATCCAGGGTAGTAAAGTAGGAGGTGGTTAGTTGTGGCATTGTATGCTCTGAAGGTGAAACCAACATGATTTGTTAATGGTTTAGATGTAGGTTGTAAGAGAGAAAGAGAAGTCAAGAATGACTCTTAAGATTTTGACCAGAGCATTTACTGAGCTTTGGAAGACTGAGAGGATTGGGTTTGGTGGAGGAGTATTAAAAGTTTGGTTTGGGACTTGGGAAGTTTGAGAGGCCTCTTAGACATTCAAGAATTAATCTTCATACCGTATCTAGAAATGAGTTCAGAATGGCCCATATTTAGATCAGTGACCTAAATGTTTTAAGAGTTAAAATCATAAAAACATGTACAAGTCTGGAATTCAGAGACTTCAGAACAAATCCTGGTGTTCTCAGTTGGTGGAGGGCATTTAAAGCCATGCTACTGGGTAAGGAAAGCAGAGTAGGTCTCAGGATTGAACTCTGGGGTGTTCCTGGTGTTTAAAGTTGGGGGAGATGAGGAAGAACTAATTAGTTAGGAAAAGTGAGGAATAGCTGTTGGGTTCTGTGGGTACAGAGAGGGGGAGCATCTTAATCTGGTTGGGCCTTACCCTATTAAACATTATCTTTTACCCACATTTTACCCTTCAGGCATTCTTGGTGACTATAATTGTATAATGAGGGCACCACTAGTCAATTCTGGACCACAGATCATTTGTTTCCTATGTATTGAATGCTCTATCAGAGGTGGCAGTGAGTATGGCCTACAGGGTCGTAATAGTCTCAGATTTGGAAGGAATGTTTAGATCTAGTGTACTATCTCTTGAAATGCTAGAATTGTTTCAATAATGGGGATTTTTAGTAGTGTCTTTAAAATTTTTGGGTTACTGTCCCCTTTGAGAGTCTAACATAAAGACCCTTACTTGATAAAAGATAACACAATTTTGCATACTGCTATCAAGGTATTTGTGGATTGTTTAGGGGCCTTGCGCATTTCAGACAGGTGGGCCTTGTGAAAACACCTCGAATGACAGTTCTCTGCTTTGTGAAGGGACACTTGAGGATTCTGGACAGCCTTGGCTGTTGCTTTTCTTCCTTCTAATTGAATGGAAACATGTCACCCTATATTTTTTGAGGTCCTAGTTTTGTTCACGGGGTCACATAGAGCAAATTTGTTTCCTTTTCTATGTAAGAGCCCTTTGAGTATTTCAAGACCAAATTACGAACGTTAAAAAAGAATCTTGTCGAAATGTAATTCGCATACCATAGAATTCACCCATTTAAAGTTATGTTAAATACCATTTAATATACATTATTAGTATATAAAGTATATTATTCAGTATGTATTATATTAGTGTATTACATTATTAATTTTCAGTATATTACATCATTTTTAAATTTTTTGGTATAATGCATATGTTTTTTGTTATAAATTTGCCACTTTAACCATTTTAAAATGTGTAATTCAAGGGTATTAATTACAATCACAATGTTGTTCAACCATCACTACTGTCGTTTTCTAAAGCTTTTTCATCACTGAGCAAAAACTCTAACCATTAAACAGCAACTCCCCCACCTTTAATCCACTTTCAGTCTGCATGAATACGTCTGTTCTAGGTACTTAATATAAGTGGATTCATAAAATAATTGTCCTTTTACATCTGGCTTATTTTACTTAACATAATGTCGTCAAGGTCTTAATTTTTTATCCAAATCAAATTTCCACATAATTGTAGGATTTCAAATTGTACTGTATTTGACATTTTCTTTTTCACTGTGCCCACAGTTAATTATAATAAAGTAGTTGCCAGAGATGTTTATTGGATTAAAACAGTATTTTTAGGGTTATTCATTATAACGAGGTTTTTTTTCCCTCTCTAAATGGGTTGTAGGGAAGTCTGATAAAAAGAGACATTGCCTACCTATTATTTCTCAAAAGTTAACTAACATTGTTAACCAACAGTAAAGATAAATATATTTAATGCTATTAAACTGTACATTTCCCACTCATATTTACAAATTTCATGCACACTTTTAGAAACAGCTATTTACAAGTGATTAAAAATCCAAGAGTGTAATTAACAAAGGGCACACTATGGAATAATAGTTCTTACTGGTTTAGAAAATGTGGCACTATTGTGCCTTTTTTTAAAATATAAAAACAACAGAATCAACCCACCTTAGGGCAGTGGAGGAAGGTTATAGATTACCTAAAATTAATGTAAAAAAACCAAACATGCCTAATTCTTGATTGCCTCGGGATAGCTTGACTAATGCCAAGGCTTGGCAGGAACCTGAGGGCAGCTCACAGTGGAGCTCATCCCCGCACTAGGTGATGATACTTGTCCTGTTAGAGTGACTTGGGCAATTGAAGCTCTCTTCTTTCTTGGAATATTAGTACTGACTCACCACCCTGAGGTGGTAAGGTACTCCAAAGTTATTTTGGCAATTTAATCAAAGTTAGTTGAGATGTGATGTACTCTACCATGTGAAATGTAAAACCGTGGTTTTCCTGATACTCATGAAAATCCCCAAGATCCTTTCAAGGAGTCCAAGTTAAAAATTATTTTTGTAATAACATGCTGACATATTTGCCTTTTTCATGCTCGTTCTATCAGGATTGTACAGTGGAGTTTTCAGGGCTACATACATATGATAATATTGCTCTGATAAGTTGTGTGTTTTAAAGTATAGTGTTTTAAATTTTTTTTAAGTATGAGTACTCAAATGCAGGTATTTGGTAGACATTTGACCTTGAAGGCTGATCTTTGCGTAGGCTTTTCTGTGCAAAGGAGGTGAAAAAAAAGCAACAAGAACAGGATGATAGGCTGAATACACAGCATGGGAAACAACCCTAGGATAGAAATGATCACAGTGCATTCATGAAACTGAAGTAAGGCACATGATGGGGCAAAAAGAGTAGGAGAGGTGCAATATGAAGATGGAAAGGAAGACAAGATCCAGGTTGTGCAGGGTCTTATAAAACATCTGAGGAGTGAGT